CTTTCAGCTGACAGGCGAGCCCAGTTTGAGCAATTAGAGTACACAGAAGATGACTATCAGAAAGAACTTGAGCATATTGAGGAGGTCAGACCTTCCCGCACTTATATGAATACTGTATTTTTTTCTACTTCAAAAACATGTAAGGATATTTTTTTGATAATGATAATGAACAATGTAAAGATATGAATCATATTGATTTAATCATAAGATCCTCGTTGTTTACTGCTGTGCAAAAGATAAGATGCAGCAAAAGTTGCAGTCAGTATGCTAGCACAGACAATACCAAACAAGAATAGGTTATCAAGCTGGCGTTAGGTCTTTAATCATCGTTTATTGGATACTCTGACTTCCTATTATTCTCGTTCAGGAAGAAATTTCCCCTTTTATCATAAAGCATATTCCTGGACACAATTTGGTCCACCATTATGACGTGTAGCAGTCTACCTCTTTGCAAGAGTCTAATCCATTTTCTCCTTGAAATGCTTCAGGTTTTTTCACCATTGGTGGAAAAATGTAAGAAGTATGGACGTGCAATGCGCATTGGAACAAACCATGGGAGCCTTTCAGATCGCATTATGAGCTATTATGGGGACTCGCCTAGGGGAATGGTGAGCAGCAACTGAATTACTTACCTAGAATATTCTGTTCTAGTCATTGTTGTTGTATTCGATAATTTGTATCATCTAATGTGTTACAGGTAGAATCAGCATTTGAGTTTGCAAGAATTTGTAGAAAGTTGGACTTTCACAATTTCGTCTTCTCAATGAAAGCTAGCAATCCAGTAGTTATGGTTCAGGCGTATCGCCTTCTTGTAGCTGAGATGTATGTTCAGGGATGGGACTATCCTTTACACTTGGGAGTTACTGAAGCTGGTGAAGGTGAGGATGGAAGGATGAAGTCTGCAATCGGTATTGGCACACTTCTTCAGGTATACTATTTTTATCCTGTATGAATAACAGTTAAAGGCCGAGCATCTTTTAAAAATAATATCTTTATTCATTTTGACGGTCCCAGCTTCATTTAGACAAGCAATAGGGTATTTCTCCAGCTTACCGAGGACATGATCCTAGATAGGAAGGTTTGGAGATCAAGGATTAGGGTAGAAGGCAAGTAAGTAGCCGAATGTTGTCGCACTGTATGTGCAAAAGATAGGGTGATGTTTAGTAGGCATGTAGTCTCTTATTCTTGTTGTCTCATTTGCTTTGTATCTTTCTATTTTATTGTCATATTATTCTTGCAATTCTGCTTCAGGAACATGTCTTTTGAGCTGAGGGTCTATTGGTAACAGCCTCTCTAGTCTACCTCACAAACCCCACTTGTGGGATTACACTGGGTATGTTGTTGTTGTTGTAGTAAGCAATAGGGTACTTACTGTCAAAATGGGTGGGGGGACAAGAATGTATTTGTTAAATTGTGCTAAACAGAAGATGTGATTAATCTAAATGCTGTATTCTGTTCCATTTGAATGGTTTCATCAAGCGACAGAAAATACATAATCTTGATTTATCAAATTTATCCAGGATGGTTTGGGTGATACAATACGGGTTTCCCTAACTGAAGCTCCAGAAGAGGAGATAGATCCCTGTCGACGATTGGCAAACCTTGGAACAAGAGCAGCTGCGCTTCAGCAAGGAGTGGTAATCTTTTCATCACGTTGCTTATGAGTGAGCTTTAGTACTTTAAGTTTGACAAAGTAGTAAGATTTTCACTTCCTTTATCAGGCCCCCTTTGAAGAAAAGCACAGACGTTATTTTGACTTTCAACGTAGGTCAGGGGAATTGCCAGCTCAAAAGGAGGTCGGTTTTAAAACCTGAGCAGATATGGTATATGAGACTTCATTTTTTGAAGCAAACAAATGTTTGATTTTTCTAACAGGGTGATGAAGTAGACTACAGAGGCGTGTTGCATCGAGATGGTTCTGTTCTCATGTCTGTCTCTTTGAATCAATTAAAGGTCTTATCTGATACTTCTCTAATAATAGTTTGTAATATATGATTCTACTAATCAATTTCTAGACATGCTAATTTCTAGCTCCAATTGTTTTCTTCATTTTATCTTCCTTGAAATGTCACATTTTTTTTGGTTTTGCAGACCCCTGAACTTTTGTATAGATCATTGGCAGCAAAGCTTGTTGTTGGCATGCCTTTTAAGGTCTATTCTACGGCTTTCATTGCAATGTGTACTTAACCGATTCTTCTCCTCTTGTTGTGCACCGTCTTTGTGCTAACTTATAATCAGTGTCAATTCAGGATTTGGCAACTGTGGACTCAATCCTGTTGAGGGAACTTCCACCACTAGATGATATAGATTCTGTAAGGACCCTTTTCTTTTCTATGTAGTAATTTAAGTATTCACGTTATTTTCGTTGATGATCTGACTAATGTGTGTTAAAGTTTAGCATTTCTAGTGCACATTATTTTGATATATCCATTTTGTTTACTGTGAGAGTGACTTGATTGTCAATTTTTTTTGTTGCACATGAACAGCGTCTAGCTCTCAAAAGGTTGGTCGACATAAGCATGGGAGTCATTGCTCCTCTCTCAGAGCAATTGACAAAGCCATTACCCAATGCCATGGTCTTGGTTACTCTGAAGGAGTTGTCTGGTGGTGCTCACAAGCTTCTTCCCGAAGGTGTGATAATTGTATTTTGTTCTGTAAGTTCTTTGAATTGATTATCTTCCAAAGGTTTTATTAATCAGGCTAGACGTGGAAACCTACTTGTAGGTACACGATTGGTTGTGTCCGTGCGTGGCGATGAATCACAAGACGAGTTGGAAATCCTGAAGAGCTCTGATGTTACTATGATTCTTCATAATCTACCATATACAGAGGAAAAAATTGGCAGGGTTCAGGCCGCCAGGAGGTATGTTGCTTCTTGATTAAAAATATTCACATTGTCTTACAGTAAATCAGTTGGCATAACCAAATATTATACGTTCCATTTGTATAAACTTTCTCAAAGGCAGACATTACGATTTACGACAGAAAACTACTTAGCTGCTGCTTTTTTCCCATTCTCTACTTCTTTTGACACTGTTAACTTGAGCATATCTGCTTTTGCAGGCTTTTTGAGTATCTTTCTGAGAACTCCTTGAACTTTCCAGTGATTCATCACATACAATTTCCCAGCAACACCCACAGGTATGGCAAGAAAGATGTGAATGACCTACAATCAGACGTGTGGAGTTTTTTTTGTAATTTAGCTTACGACAATTTCAACATGACAGGGATGACTTAGTGATTGGTGCCGGGACAAATGCCGGAGCCCTCTTGGTAGATGGGCTCGGTGATGGTCTTCTCTTGGAAGCTCCAGTCAAGGATTTTGATTTCCTCAGAAATACATCTTTCAATTTGCTTCAAGGTTGCAGAATGCGGAACACAAAAACGGTAATGCTAAGCGAATGGACACATCAAGAATCTGAATCAATCTATAGTAACAGTACTCATTTCCATTTCTGTGTATCCCTTCCAGGAATATGTATCATGCCCATCCTGTGGCAGAACTTTATTTGATCTTCAAGAGATAAGCGCTCAAATAAGAGAGAAGACATCACACTTGCCTGGTGTTTCAGTAATTACGCGACCCTAATGCTAACTGTTATTGAATAGCTTAATTTTTTTGAGTATATATTCTGACGGTAAATAAAAATGACTCGTGTTATGTTTCTTTTTCCTTCTCAGATTGCCATCATGGGCTGCATTGTGAATGGACCTGGGGAGATGGCGGATGCTGACTTTGGATATGTTGGTGGTGCTCCTGGGAAGATTGACCTTTACGTCGGCAAGGTACCAAGCTTTATTTCCCTTATCTCAGTACTGAGCAAGATGGATTTGGCTTTGCATTATTCACTACATAGTTTTTTAGAGAAAAATATCGTTGAAAGTATAATCAATTGAGTCGATCATCCTCTTTAGCCATCATATAGATCCGAAAGAGAATGAATAAAAAAACTTTTAGATGCATGTATGCTATATCTCCCTGCGGCGATGGTTGTTATTATCTCATTTGACTAAAAAGAATACCTAAATATCATAGCTAGTAATCCTTCAAGCATACACAATTCACCCAAACATAGCTAAAGAAAATGAAATATTTTGATGTACTTTTTTTTGAAGGAATACTGATTAGTTGTACTCAGATTGCTTGTGATTGAGGAAGTAGTAGTTGCTGCTAGTTTTCAAATTTTGTACTTTTTGTCTACTACGCCTCAATCCCAAACAAGTTGGGGTCATTTATATGAATTCTCACTGACCATGTTTTTCCCCATTTAAGCTCAATTCATGTCACTAATATGTTTCAATTACTGGTGAAATAAATTTCTACCAGACGGTGGTAAAACGCGCTATTGAAATGGAGCATGCAACGGATGCATTGATCCAGCTAATTAAAGATAACGACCGCTGGGTTGATCCTCCAACCGAGGAGTAAGACTAAGTCGCCGAGTTCAGGAGATGGAAATGATGCAGACTATATCAACTGGATAATAATACAACTAGTATAGCAACTCCAGAGAGCTGCTATTTCCAAGAAGCAGAGATATTAGCTTTTTTATATGTTATAGAATTTTATGTATCATGCAAAATGCAGAACATGGTTAATTCATGTATCAATGAATACAAGCTCCTAGTCCCCTTTTTGGGAATCTAATGAAATAGGTTGTGGCAGTTCAATCTATGATTTATCATTTATGGACGTTGATAAGATCCATTCATTTAGCAGATAAAAGAGAAGGGTGATGTTCAAACAAGGAAAGGCTTACGGTTGATACCTAGGCATGTAGAGACGACGAACGTTGCGATGAAGGTCGAAACGTCAGGGGAATGTGGCTGCATGCATGAGAATCGAAATAATCGAATCACAAATTTATGATTAAAGTTTAAACAGATGTAGCAAACTACAAAATAATAGGATTACGTACTCAATTTTTATTCCATGATTAAAGAATCAAACAAATATAATGAAATTCTCGAATGCTACATAGATTTATATATAATATATAATGTGAGATATATGTGGAAAGATTTGCATATATATGAAGCATGCAACTCAAAGAAAATCTCTCCGGGCAGCGTACCCGAACTGTGCTCGTCGGATATTCTGCCGGCGCTTCTTGTACACCAATGCTCCGAGACCTACAACACACGCTGCCGCGACTACTCCAAATGCTACTCCTGCCTTCTTTCCTCCGTTCATTCCACCGTCCGACGATGACGATTCATCCACCTCCGCCGTATTACTCTCGTGGCTTATATCACTCGCCGCTACATCACTCGGAGCTGGAGAAGGAGAAGGAGATGGAGGCTCTGCTACGGGAGCCGAGGCAGGAGTCGGAGTAGTATTATCTCCGCTTACAGGTGACGGCGCCGGAGCAGAATTAGTAGAGTGATCTGTCGGCGGAGACGCCGGAGGAGAACTCACATTGGCCAAAGGTGACGGCGACGGTGACGGTGACGGAGTTTTAGGAGCTGCAGCGATCGGCGGTAGAGAACCTAGATCTCCACCTGATACCGGCGCCGGACTTGGAGAATTTTCCGGCGAATATGCACAAATACATTGTTGTATAGACAAAATCGCAAGGAAAAACGTGAAACAGAGCATACGAAGCATTGGCGGCGACATTGCCAATAAAACCGTACGTACTTTTTTCCTCCTCCTTTTTTCAGAATTCAAAAGATCTGCAATATGAAAAAAAGTAAACAAACCACGATTAACGATGCATTAACAAAATGCAGATCTGGAGATAAATAGAGTAGTAGTAGTTAGTGTGAAATTGACGTTGTAAGGTTTACGAACTGCGAAGGAGTAAAATGAAGTTAAAGGCGCAGTTGACAAAAGCATGTTACTTACTAATTACTTGATTTCGTGGACTCTGGCTGCGTAGAGAGAGAAAAAAGCGACGGAGAATGAGAGAGTAGCTGTGGAGAAGCGTGAAGTGAAAGTGAATGAGATTGACGAAGACGGCGGATCCGGAACTGAATACACTAGATTAAGGGGAAAGGTTCTGGACTTTGTTGATTGCGTGAACAAGAGAGAAAGCGGAGGTGACCTTCCTTGGTTTGTTTGTTTGTTTGTTGAGAAAGCGGTTGTGCTCAATTACTTGACAATAGAGAAAATAAAAATGGGTAATTTTTGTACGCAGTGCGTATCGCGTTTGGCCATTCAGTGTTAGTTAGTACATATTTGTTTTGGAGTTGGTGTTAGATTAATTCAAATTCACTGTGGAAATCCTACTTTTAAGTGTAAAAACTAGTCCAATTATTTATTGCGTAAAATCATTTCACTTTAACTATTCAATAATCTATTTAAAAGCAACTCTCATCAAAAAGAATGTATATTTGGTTATAAAAAATGTATTGCACCTTACACTTGAGTGGCAATGCCACATACACCCATTTGAAGGTCTAATTTCACACCCAAATATATGAGACACGTCTACTCTACTAACACAAAGAAAATACCTAAAACATTCCATAGAATGTACTTATCTACTATCTACTACCTACTACAGCAAGTAAGTAATGATATAAAAATTCTTTATACTGAAGATACATATAACTTATCATTCATATAGGACATTAAACTTTAAACTCAAACAAAAAAGAAATAACCAAACAAGTTCCGTGGCCATCTTTCTAGCCCACTCTACCTAGTCCTACTACAAAACAAGCTAGGAGAATAACAAAGAAAAAAAAGTAACAGAGCTATGAGTTTTCATAGTTCATCTTTTTCATTGCTAGACTCTACGTTAGCACCTTCTTTGGCTTCTGGACTCTCTGATGTAGTTGTCGATGAAGCAGGTTTTGGAAGCTTGAAAGGAATAGTTGCGTGTTTCTTGATAAACTTGTACAATGCTACCACAGTTCGGTCAGCATCAATTGGGATCTGTAGGATCATACAAAAGGCATTACCACTTGATATTTCTTGTATTTTACATGGAGACGTAAAACAAACAAAATAATCAATCACTTACTGGATCCACGGTCTTGTTCCCTGCTGGGAAGAAGAGGAGTGTGGGAAATCCTTCAGCCTGCAAAAGGAGCAGAAATGACCTTCCATTCAACAATTGCATCCAAATTTACTAAAACTAATAAAAAAAAGCTAGCTCATGAGGTGGGGATCATTCAAAACCACATAAGGAGAGCAAGTCCCTCATCCCACCACTGATATGGGACTTGACGCCCCCAAAAGTGCAGGCTTGACAACGGGCGCGTGAACAATATAATATCGAGTCTCAACAAAGGATAAAACAAGAATTGGGATGGGTTTACACTGATACCATCATAAGAAATGAAATTTGGGTCTAAGTCAACCTCAAAAACTAGCTCAAGAGGTGAAAATTCTCCACCATCTCACCTCCGATGTGGGACTCAACAATTCTTTAATGTGATAGCCACACGCCTCAACCAAACATGAATGAACAATGCAAATGAATAAAATAATAGCGACAAAGCAATCAGGAGAAGCAGCAGTTCATGACCGAACTATGACACTCTTGTGTGCTGATTAAACACAGAAAGATATCAAATTACCTTTCCCTGAGGGTGCTCATTCGTGGTACCATCCATTTTGGCTATAACAAGAGACTCAATGTCACGTAAGTGCTTTGCAAGCTTGTTATACGTTGGTTCTAGAGATTGGCAATGCCCACACCATGGTGCGTATATCTAAAACAAATGTAACAGCAGTTACTACAAAAAGAACCCTGAGTAATGAAAAGAAAACCAATCAAGAGAATTCATTGTGAAGCCTTTAGTAGTAGCTTGGGTACCTCCAGAAGCACATCTTTTGACTCGTCCAGAACAATGTCATCAAAATTGTTCCCCACTACTATCTTCACGTCTCCCTCATTCTGTAATAATCAACGCAATAGAAAACAGAGAGCTGAATCAGCACAACTACATGAAAAACGATAGGCCAGGAAGGGAAATCACAACTTACATCCTCAGGAATAGGGTCTGATTTATGAAAAGCTTTAAGCTTGTCAACCAGAAAATCCTCTCCAAATGCCTGACAGATAAAAAAGACGTGAAAATTCAATTTAGAGCTTCCTGACTAGAACACTTAATTCCGTATCCAATAAACACAAGGAGGCATTCCACCTTAAGCTTCTCAACGGTGATCTCCCCATCAAATATGTACTTCCTGGGATTCTCATTTCCAGTATATCCGATAACCTACAGGAAATAAACAAACAAGACAAATTAAACATTCAGTAACCTTGGTCCCAAAAGATCACATCAAGCCCATTATGATCTGTTGATTGTTACCTTCGGAGAATCTCCGGTGGCTCCAAAATAATCTGATACAGGTTTTCCAACTTCTTCATCATCCATGTTGACAAAAACAAAGATAAGCTGCATAGAAAACAGTAAGCAAAAAGTCAATATTAATTGCTTGTTGCTACTGTGTTTTTGGTGTAATCAGTTAATAATCCAATGACACTATCTCCCGAATTGATGTACTAGACTCAATTTAGTATCAGATAGCTGGATTTGATGATCTTATTGTAACTATGGTTCAGTATTGCCTATGTACTGTTGTAGTGATATACAAAGTTACCTGTCGAAAAGACAGATATGCTGCATTATCCAGGAAAAAAACACAATTTTTTAATTTATAGCATGATTCTTTCCTTTTAACGAAAATTATTTTCCTGCTCTTTCATTGACTCCTCATAATTGGAGAAACTGTGTGAAAAAATGAAACAAGTCATCCACAGTAAACTAATCTAGAGTACATAGTATTCCAACCTTAGATTAATTTTTCCAATCGATGTGGAAGTACAAGCATTAAATTTACGTTTTTCTTATCGTATGCGCATTATAACCACTATGCGCACTCACCTCATTTCACTCCTCCAACCAACATAAAGATCTATCAACTTCAGACATGTGTACAAAAGGGTAAATAAGTATGTAGCTGATGCGTACATTCATTGAAGTTGGGTTGTTTATGTCTAAGCCAATTATAGTGATTCACGAAGGACATTCAGATGGAAATTCATTGGCAACACAAAGAGGGGAGCCTTCTTTTTAGAGAAGATGTTCCAAATTCTAAATCTTATACTTTGTTTTAATGTATAAGATAAAAAAAAAAGTTCCTATGTATATCTCTCATGGACGCCAGTGTTTGGTGTATATCAATTGCACCTCTATTGATTTTTTTAATGTCTACTCTAAAGAGGGCAAGAGGCATGATATATGGGTAAGAAGCATCCTTTTTCAGACAAGAAGTTATTATAAGTGATGATTCCACACAATATAGCAGTCAATGAAACCAAAGACCGCATTAATATTCTGAAAGATTAAAGCAAAGCTTAATTACCTTTCCCTTGAAAAGTTTTGCAGCTTCTTGAAATGTTGGGAATACTTTATCTGTATCATTTGTTCTGGCAAAGAGCAAAACCTGAGTAGAAAGCATTAACCATAAACACTTCCATTCAAAAAGTCAGATTTATTATGCAATACCATATCTGTATTACCTGCTTCTTTATTGGACTCGAGAAAATTGAAGCTCCACTTTCTCTAGTAAAAACTGTCACTAGAGGAAGCTTGTTGGCAGATACAAACTTAACTATTGCAGACTTGGTGAATTGACCATCTGGAGGCAAAATCAAAGGAAAAGATAATGAGGCATGTCCTCTCCGTCTTAATTTTATTTCTTCTCTTGAACTTCAAAAGATTATAAAGCAATTTAGCAGCTACCCTGGGGTACTAAAGATTACCGATTAAACAGCCTAGATGAATAGTAACCCTAAAATTCATATCTAACCCATTTAAGACCAAAATCGATGGAATTACAAAATGATCTTTGGTGGTTAAAAGCTATGTTGCTTGGACTCTCCAAAAGTGTTGTCACACCATGTCGGATCCTCAAAAAATGCACTACATTTGGAAGATCTGACACGCACCTAGAGGGGTTTTTGAAGAGTCCGACCAACATAGGTTAATGCCCCAAAACTGTAGTAGATATAAACATAAATGTTGATATTGACAAAACACTGAATTCCTTTTGATTTGAGGAAAAAAACTTTGCATACAATACGATTTTATGAACATGAATTGTAGGTATCCAATCTCAATATAATGTAAGAAATTTCATAACCTTCAATGAATTTATTTCATAACCCTCAATGAATTTTAAGCTTTCAATTTGTATCATGTGAAATATATGCAATACACTTATTGAAAAATGAAAACCAGATGAATTTAAAATGCTTGCTCCGATCAATTTGTCGGTGTGCCCTTAACTAAATAAACAAACACAAACAAATTGTCTATGAACATTAGGGAAGAAATCAATCAAGCGGGAGTTCTCTTTTGTCAGACAAAGTTATCTAGAAGAAAATATACAATTCAGAATTAAATAAAGAAAATAAGAGGAACAGCTTACCATAATGCACCACTTTCTCCTCTTCCTTTTTAAGCAAGACTAAAGCTGGGCGTTTAAGAGTGCCTTCAATATTGAATAGCTTAGCCACGTTAGGATTTGTCGTCTGGTAAAAGTTAAGATCATCCTCAAGTTTTGAAGCAGCAGCAAGTTGCTCAGTTTCAGGACCCTATAATTGTTTGGACACTCACAACATGAGAAAAATGTAGAATTTTTATGAAAATGCAATGTATGAGTCGTATGAAAACTATTTCCCACACTCGAAATGAAGGATAAAAATTATAGCAGAGCACATATATAACAGTAGAAAGAGATAAACGTGAGGTTCCAAGTTAAAATCAATACAAAATAACTAAAGAAATAAGTTGAGTTGCAAGAAAACCATTCGAAAGAAAAAAGGAAACAGTGATTTTCCAATGAAAGAGGCTGATAGCATAGGTAACGGATTAGCTATTCATTAAATTACTACAACAATGCCCAAAACAAAAAAGTTGTGAGCAGTAGAATGTTCACTTTATATCATTCACCGACCAACTAAGAAAAAGATTCAAAAGAGAAAGTTATGCTAATGGATAACAGCCAGTACAAGTAACTAATAAGAACAGATATTCATTAGCATGCTAGAGTAAGCAGTACATACCACCAAGGACTCAAGGAACCCTAACACGACTTTGTCTCCAGAGGTTAGTACACGCTCTGCATCCTCCGTTGTTGTTATATTGTAAATGCCAGGCCCAATCTTCTTTTTGATCCAAGTCACAATTGCATCTCTAAAGTTAAGATTCATTAACTTCAGATCAACATGCAAGTGTATTTGATAATCCACAAGCCAAAAAAAAAAAAGGGGAAGGGGAAAGGGGAATACACCTGCTTCAAACAGCCATGTTCAATAATTCCAAAAACCATTAAAGGAAGCATGACAAACAGACAAAGTCCTCAATGTTGGCCCTTCTGCAGCTCGTTAAATTAAATAGAGTAAGTTATGAGAAGAGTAACAAGGAAGCAGGAAAATATCCACCATTATGATTTTGTAACATTTTCTCCATTTGACATAATTAAACTAAAGATCCCATTTTTTGCGAGCTGACTACTGCTCCTTTTCACCCTCACGAAAACAAATGTTACCATGATTTGCAACATTTTGACATAATGAAACTAAAGATCCCATATTTGCAAGCTGACTACACTTTTCACCCTTATACGAAACAAACGTCACAAGAAACCATAACACAACTTAGACGTAAATTCAATTAGAAGCTAACACAATTTATCACTCCCTACATCAAGGCAAGAAACATACTAGTAGATCAGAAGCTCATAATTAGCTATAAGCCTCCATGTAAATAAAATGCACATTTTAAAACTAGCTAAAAGTCCCATTATTGCAGGCTAACTGCTGCTTATTTTTGCCCTTAAGAAAACAAAAGTAACCATGATCTGCAACACTTTCTCCATTTGACATAATGAAACTAAAGATTCCATTTTTGCAAGCTGGCTACTCTTTTCACCCTCACACAGAAACAAACGTCACAAGACATGAAGGAACCTCCACGTCAGTACGACAGTGCCACCATAACACATCTTATATACAAATTCAATTAGAAACTTACACAATTTATCACTCACTACATAAGGCAAGAATCATACTAGTAGAATCAAGAAACTTAAAATTAGCTAAAATCATAAAGCTTTTCAATGGCTTACCCTCTAAAATTTCCGAGGTACCAAATTTTGAGGTTATTGTCTCTAAATTACTACCAAGCTTTCATTAAACACAAGTAACTACAACAAACTAAGAAAGTGAAATCCTGTTAAAAGCGCCGCCCCCAGAAACGAACCCTGCAATGCATGAATCCAGAATAGTCGAGCTCCAAAAAAAAAAAACATATAAAGGAAGAAGACTCACTTAGTTCTTTGGCCACTGTAAGTTTTGTGCTCACCATCAATAAAAAAATAAATAGTAGGAAATCCTTGAACCTCATAATTCTCCGCCAGCTCATTCTCCACCGTAGCATCAACTTTAACCAACGGCACATTCTCCGCCTTCAGCTCCGTCGCTGCAGCAGCGTACTCCGGTGCAAGTTCCTTACAGTGACCACACCACGGCGCATAAAACTCCACCATCACATACTTATTATCCTCCACAAAGTCACTGAAATTCCTATCCGTCAAAACGACAACGTCTTTATCGTCGAATTTAGCTACTTCCTCTTCTTTCTCATCATCAAACGCCGACGGAACCTCAAAATCGTCGTAATTCTCAAAGTCCCCGTCGTCATCGAAATCATCGTCGTCAGAGAAGGTGTCGGTTGGGAAAGTGTGTTCCGGCGCGTCGTCGTTTACGTCGTCGGTTTCGAGGAAGCTGAGGTCTTCGTCGTCGTCATCAGCGCCGGCGACGGCGAGGGATGGGGTGAGTAAGACGGAGAAGAGGAGAAGAGAAACTAGAGAAAGGAGGAGGATGAGTCGACTCGTCATTTTGTGAGTCAGTGACGAGTTGACTGAGATCGATGAGATTTCTATAGTGAGAGCCCCGACAGAGACTTGATCTTTAGACAGTGTGCACACTTCCCGGCGTCTCTTCAACGTTTTTGAATTTTACAATTTCACCCCCTACTTTTTGCTTCAAGTTACATTAACTACACCTCAAGTTCGAATATGAGATTTTTTATTTAGAAAATAATATAAAATATATCATGTCGAAGATTGAAATTATAATACTAGTCTAATAAATAAAATGATGATTTTATCAGAACAAATTTAATGCTTTAAAAGAAACTATAAATATTCATAAGGATACTTTAGAAACTAAGTAATAATTCTTACTTACTGTATATAATATTTTTTAAATATAAGGTACAATTTAAATAACAACGACCAAATATATTGTTCAATGAATACTTTTTGAGTCATTTGCACTTTTTCTCTTAGTTTGTGTTTGTCTTTAATTTATTTTTTTTGGTAACAACTGTAAAATATTAGCGTAACCATCAAAGAACAATTACAAATAAAGAGAACTTAAGTCGAAAACAGAAATGAGATATCCAATAAAACAAGAAATTAATTACATTTCTAAATCCTGAATAAAGCTCTTGCAATTCTGTGCTTTCTTTGTTTTACTAAGTAAACATATCATCTCCCTTGTCTCCTTCTTTATATGTGTGACAGTCTATGTAGTATATACATATTTATCTTTAAATTTGTTCCAGTTTCTAGCACGCCAAGTATGATAAAGCACAGTTCCATAACATGATGATATGACCTCCTTCTGAAACTTCATCCAGTGATTCTTCTTACCAAGACTTTTATTTAAGGATAACTTACTGAAATCTCATTAGTATATAAGCTAATTACTTAGATGCATAGTATGTTGTAATATTATGAATCTTATCAGATTTTGATGCGTCCAAATACATGTATCTCGGGATATATAGACTCAAAATTATGTGTAATTTGTTCTAGATACATTATCCAAGTGGATTCACATGTATCTAGGATACATAGACAAATATCGCGTCATCAACTCCCTTGTATCTCACTTGCGTATCTGGGATGCATCACACCGGATAAATGTATTTCACGTATCTAATGTTATTGAAACAACATCATTGATTGTCATATTTGATTTGTAAATCTTCTCATTTTCTTATGTTATAGAATTTTAATTTTAAAAAGAAAAAAAAAGAAAGGCTAGCCAGCCCAAGCCCGCGACCCTCCTAAGGTTGGGTTGGGCTGAGCATTTTCAGGCCCTTCCAAATGAAGGGACGATTCACCTTAGCCCATCAAATTTCTTGGCCCACAAAGCTTAGATCGGGTGGGGTTGGGCTGATCCTTTTTGACAACTCTAATGGTATCCCACAAATTATATCTCGACATTAGTTTTATTTCTAAAGAACTTATGTTCAATTAAGCATAAGTTTGATTGTTAAATAACAAAGTTAAAATCATCCCAAACTTAGAATTTTGTGATTCTTTTACGTAGAGTCTACTTGAATTGACTTCTTTTAAGTGTTTTTAAATCAAAATAACTTTTTAAATACTTTTATATTATTTGAATAAAATAGAAAAGTCTATCCAAACAGACTCTAACTTGTTGCCCGACCAATGATCTTAGAGCCCATTTTATGTATTTGACTTCAGGCCCATTAAGCCCATATTTCTGGTACGGGTCATATTGTTGTCGAAAGAAATCCGATTGAGCCGTCTCGAAATTTCAACACTTTGGTCTGTGCGAAAATTCAATCGCAAGGATGATCAGCATCCTTACTCAGGTAAGTTATAGATTAGTGATCATCATCTTTTATCCTTTGCATTTTTGATTGTTCAGTATTGATTTTGAATGAAAAATTGTTTGATTCTTCAATGCGCATGTATGGAAAAATGAACTTGTGGAATTTTGTTTATGCAAAACGCAGGAGCGTCTTCTTGGCGCTGCTTTAGGTACCGTAATGGCAAGCGTGGTGGTGTTTGAACAACGGAAAAGCATATATAAGAGTATCTCTGAGAATCAATCTAGATTTTCCCCTCAATCTCAGGTAGGTTTTAATCTCTTTCTCCCGAGGTGTTTTCTTTGTGATTTTTAGCTTCCAGGATTGTTGTTGTATGCTTCCGGTTCGTGGTAAATTCCAGCTAGCGATATAAGCAAATTATATGTGTGAGTGTGCATCTAATTAACAAAGAATAAATCAAGCTTGTCTGTTAAATAGCTATTTAAACACATTTGTATATAATGATGAAATTGTATATTTATCCATAGCAGTAATAAGCATGTTATTATAAAACTACAACAACAACAACATAACCAGTCTAATCTCATAAGTGGAGTGTGGGGATGATGGTGTGTGCGCAGGCTTATCCCTACCTTGTGAAGGAAGAGAGGTTCGCTCGGGTAAAACATATCAAAATCAAGTATGGAAAGGAAATACAGTAGCAACATTAAATAATACTATAACCGAAGCAAAAGAAACAATAGTATTAATAGTAAGAGAGCTGTAACAGCAATACAGATAAGGGGAACTAGATAATGCTATAGACATTTGCGTGGCTATATTTCATCTCATCACGGGGAAAATGGGAAGTTCAAAAAACTACTAACTGTTTATCCTCTATATAGGTTTAGAAAATGGTAAGAAACTTTAGGAGCTGCTATTCTGTTTGATACTATTGTTCTCTAAGAAGTTGGTTATCTAATCATCAGCTAAAGGTGTATGTTTGTGCAAGCATTTTATAGTTTGTAGATATACTTGCAGTATGATATTTAAGTATAAGATGCACATAGATTAGTCATTAAAACGTGATAGCTGACTCGACATGGCAACTCCTTCATCGTGTGATGAAATTCAATTATGTATATGTGATACAATTTGGTTGCAATCTATACCAGTTGTTGTTTTTATCGTTAAAAATGTATTGTATTCAAAGTCCATCACCAGAAGGTGTTGTGGGGAATTTACAACGGGTAGCTCCCCTACATATTGTGTAATGAGCTCAAAAAATCTATCATGGCCTCTATTTTATTTGCAATTGCCATGTTACACCAAGAAAACAGTTGGGATAAGGATCTGTACTTAGAACTAACTACAGATTCTGATTTGCTTTCAAAAATCCTTGCATTCCTTCCTTCCAGATAATCCACCATACTGCCGAAGGGAGAGTATTCCAGGTTTTCATCTTTGTCGTACCCAAACCTTTTGAGTACCAGCATTGGAGCAGTTCTCTTGTCGTCCTTGGCATTGTCCAGTTTCTTTCTAAGCTTACACCACAAGTGTATGACCTGTGCCTGTCAAACCATACTACAAACCATACTTAAGCTCTACCTCCTCCTTTAAGGGATCCAAACCAATAAAATTTCAAACGACCACCAGTGTTTTCAAAAGCGAAAAAAAGAACCAGCAACAATGTCCATGGGGTTTGAACTGCGAGAAGTAAAACACACAATTTATGGAATATTAAAAAATATCAAACATATCCTGTATCAAAAAACAAAATCAAATAGTGTTCGTAGAAAGGAGAGATGGTTGGCATCTCCCCTGACAGGGACGGGAACAGCCTTCGGGCTTTACCTGTTATCAGAAAAAACAAAATCAAATATTTATGAATTAGCATTGAAAAAAATACTTGGTCTAGGAATAAAGAATTTGAAATTGCAAAGCAAGGCTCTTAGTATGAAGTGGTTGTGGAAGTATGCAAACAACAACCAGATGCTATGGAGGGAAGTAATTGGAGCTAAATATGAAAAAGAGGACAACTGGATAGCTAAAGAAGTAACCACTCCTTATGGTGTTAGCCTCTGGAGGTCCATCAGAAGCTTGTGGAATGAAGTTAAAAGTAACTCAAAGGCAAAAGTAATGGATGGGAATAAGACCAGATTTTGGAAGGACATTTGGCATGAGAAAGGCAACACGGAAGATCTCTTTCCAGACATCTACAACCTAATCATGTTTCAACAAAGCACTATAGCAGATCTTTGGTCACCACAAGGATGGAATTTCATTTTCAGAAGAAACCTTAATGATTGGGAAATAGTGAGAGTTGCTGAATTTTTAAACAATGTGAACACTTTCACTGGACTACAACCAGGTGAGGATAAATTGTGGTGGACAGGAGATGACAAGGGAGTGTTCAAAGTCAACAAATCCTACAAGTTGATGGATCAGACAGATCAACAGTGCTCAAGTTGGCCTTGGAAGCAAATATGGAAGAGCAGAATCCCTCACAAAGTCTCATTTTTTGTCTGGTCAATGGCTAAAGAAGCAGTCCTTACACAGGACAATGTTATGAAGAGGGGGAGAACCTTGTGTTCCAGGTGCTTCCTATGTGGTGAAACATCTGAGACTGTTAACCATCTATTTTTACATTGCAAGTACACCCATCATCTGTGGAGAATATTCCTAAACCTCAAAGGCATCTCCTGGACAATGCCCATGAAGGTGGCTGAGGCATTACTATGCTGGGAGGAAGCAGGTGTACATGCTAAGGACAGAGGTAGATGGAGAATTATCCCGGGGGCTATCTGGTGGGCTGTTTGGAAGGAAAGGAATTCAAGATGTTTTGAGAGCATAGAGAACAATGTGCAGAAAGTTAAACTAAACTGCATTTTACTTTTAGTCTTTTGGTGTAATCAATTATACTCTAATGACACTGTCTCTATTATTGATGTGTTAGACTCAATTTAGACGTAGAGAAGTGAAATCAGGAGTACACTTGTATATAAGGTTACAGTACGACCCATGTACTGTTGTGTGATATAATACAAAGTTACCAAGTTCAAAAAAAAAAAAAAAAAAAAAAAAAAAACTTTGCTATTACTATTAACTAATTTTGACATCTGATATACAACAATGCTGATATTAATCCAACTCCTTAGAGTTAAGATCCAAAGAAGCGACCAATTCTTGTTGGAATCACTTTGTGCATCATTGTTTGAAGCACACACTTCTGTGAAGTGCATAGTTTCATCCATGAAGCGATAGCTCCTCGCTTCTCACTTCAAGGCTCAAGCGATGAACTTCACCATATTAATCAGAGCCAACAATGGACAAAAATGACAAATATTGTTGGGTTCATATATAATGTTGATTTAACAAGAATAATTCACATTTTAATTGTATAGCGAGTCTGATATCCGATAGCTAGTAGATAACGCACATAATACCACTTATCAACAAATAAAATGCATAGAGTACTGTTATTTGTAGAATGTGGGGCTTCCTAAACAGAAATATGTTGCATAAATATGAAGATGGTGGGGTTGAGTAATGAAGGATATTATGTGTGTTTGAATTTACTGCTTTAAATATGGTGCATAAATATGAAGATGGTGGGGTTGAGTAATGAAGGATATTATGTGTGTTTGAATTTACTGCTTTAAATATGGTGCATAAATATGAAGATGGTGGGGTTGAGTAATGAAGGATATTATGTGTGTTTGAATTTACTGCTTTAAATATGGTGCATAATAAGACCCTTCGGGGTGGCCCAGTGGTTTGGGCTTGGGACTTCCATGTTGGAGGTCTCAAGTTCGAAATCCCTTGCCAGCGAAAGTAAGGGGTTTGCCTTCTGGGTCGAGCTCGTCGCACCGGCTTGCCTAGTGTGGGTTACCTCTCCTATGTGGTTTGCGAGCTATTGCATAGGAGCGGGGGTTTTACCCTGTGCGCACCCAAAGGGTAGCGGCTGCAGGTTTCCCTTGTCATCAAAAATAAAATAAAATATGGTGCATAATAAGTAGTCCTAATTTTACCTTTCTCAAAAAAAAATAAGTAGTCCTAACATCAACTATAAATCCTCGAATGGGAACCAGGCAGAGTCTCCTGTTGAATAGCTGGTTGGTGAGTTGTTATAAGTAACATCGCTTTGGTGATAAAGCAGTTAGATGGTGATGTTAAAAGAGTTGTTAAAGTGTGGATTTGTATATCAGGAAACAATGACTGATCACCTTTTCTTCTTCTTTTTTTTGAAATTGGTAACTTTTTGTATTTCTATCTATGATTAAGATCATTCAGTACATTGGTCGTACATCACCTTTACTTCTTTGGGCATTCCAATTTCTTTCTGTGTCTCAATTCTTATTTGATACCTTTGAAGCTTTGGAGCCTGGAGAGTATAAAAGGCGTTTTTTGAATATGAACTTTGATGGAAGTATACTTGAGGCAAGTTATATTTTTCTTGTTGCAGTTGGAAGAGGTTTCTCTGGTTTTAGAGTCCAGATGTGTTAGCCCCTTTGCTGTTTTAGGCGAAGTAAAATTTGTTAGAATTATATATAGCATGTGGTTTGACTTCAGTATACTGTGTGCTTTAGTCAAATTGAAAATGGAGCAAGAATTTCTACTCTGCTGGCTCATAGTACTCCGTCAGTTCTAGCTAATGCTGAATGTAAAATGACAGAACGTTGCTTTAGTTTTCCAAGCTGACCCTCCAAGTTTTTGCTAATTAACATTTTCATTTATATTGCAAGTCCTATTACCTAAATTCCCTTGGTCAGGAGTCAATAGTGACTATTTCCTGGCCATCTCTTACTTTATTCCCCTGGTGATTTGGACTACAACCTCCTGGTAAGGAAACTTATATATCTCATACACAAATCCATCTTTGTTTATGCTACAAACTATCAGTATGGTCCTACTTTTGGCTTATTTTGTTACTAAAAAGGGGAAGTGGCATACTCTTGCCACCGGAATACTGGAGCAACCTCACTTGTCTGCTACTGCTAGTGAATATTATCAGCTTAACATTTCATAATCTTAATGATCTTCAATGACAATTCGTTGACTATGGTAGACACCAATGGTTTTCATACTTCTTTCTGAAGGAGGAGAATAATGTTTATGAAGATGGTTGTGTTTGTGTGTGTGTGTGTGTGTGTTTTTTGGTGTGTGTGTGTGATACACATGCTACCAGTCTATGGCAAGACATTTTAAGTTTCATAGCAAGATTTATTTGCTTGTAACTAATGAAATCAACTTCTGTCTTTGCTGATCGAATTTTGTATCAATTTGAAAAAAATAGACAACAGTGTACATTCCAAAAAAGGAGTCCAGCATAGAGTTTGCACACCTATGGAACAAAGCTGTGGATCAGGCGTTTGGGCCTCTCATCAAGGTCCTTGGATCACGCGGATGGTAAAAGTGTTGTGTGATTCCACAGCTTATCTAGAGTACGCCTCTTTTATCGTGTAAGATTCTTACAAGACAGATGCAAGTGCATTCTCAATTCTAGAAGTTGCAGTTCTCGCAGACACTACTAATACTCTATTATCTTTTTGTAGATGCTATTGATGTTTCGTTCCTAACTTTGCTCTGTGAGGATCACTTGACGGAAATTTTCATTTGTGTTGTAAACACTTAGGTGCTCGATAGTACCCTGCTTTTAACTCGATCTCTATTTATTTGGAATGTACATTGGTAAAGTAATGTTGTACTTGTAATGTTGGTTGAACTCGAATAAAAGACCAATTTCTATCAGTAGCTTACCCTAATTGGACTTGTCACCAGCTATTGTTGGACGATAACTATAAGCATCACGTTATCATGCCTCCTCGACTTCCCACCCTTGACAATATCTTTTTCTCATAATCTAAATGTACGAGTTTGAAGTAAGTTTTGGCTTACTTAAGGGTCAGGAATTACCTAGTTTAAATCAAGAAGTTGGAACTTTTCCTTCTTTTTTTTCATTCATATTTCACCAAATCAGTAAGTGCATTGGGTTAAGGTCAATTGACTGTTTGTTATGGGAACCATTTTGTTGTTTACTTTTTTCCCTACATTCTTCTGTGCCCGTAGTATGTGCAGTAAATAATAGTGTGTATAATTTGCAATTCCATTTTAAAAGTTCATGCAAAGGGTAGCTTGTATAGAAGCATACCAACAATAACATAATTTCCGGTGTATCCCACAAATGGGGTCTACGGAAGGTGCTATGTATGCAGTCTTATCCCTGTCTTGTGAAAGTAGAGAAGTTGTTTTCGAACAAATACATACTTCGGTTTGTTTGGATGATAGTAATGACTAAATAATTGTACTATTATATCTCTAACTACTGATACAAACAATAGTTACATCTCACATTCCCAAACCATACAACTATAGGAAAGGTAACAAACCAAAAAAAAAAAAGAAGGTAAAAATGAGATGAAACTACAGGGGATGGATAAGAGTAAATGCCTACTGTGATCTATGTTACTCGGATTCTTTGAAAATGTAGATAGGTGCATGCCGGATTCTCCAAAAATAGTGCATTTTGGAGAGGTCTGACATCATGCAACAACATTTTTGAAGAGTCAGACATTGAGCTGGACAGGAGCACCTTTGTCTGCATTGCGTTTTCGCGCAATTGCCACATAGTAAACACCGAATGCTAACACAATAGCAAACCCGAACCCAAGAGCGATCCCAACCATCCCACCAGCTCCCATTCGTTTATTGCCTTCCTCATCGCCTGGCGGTAAACTTTCATGTGCCAAATTAGACTGCACACTTGATGCTGTAGGAAATTTTGAACAACCTGATGCATTATTATTATTATCATCACATAAACTTTCACTAGTAGTAGTGTTTTGTTTTTGAGTCTCTGGGTGGAAAAATGAGTATGCTTCTGGTGAAACTGCAACAGGGCTTTCATAAGCAAGGCCATGAGGAGACCTTTCTTGAGCTTTAACAATAAAGGGTAGGCAAAAGACAACAACAAAGAATAGACAAGAAGCCATATTTGATCGGTCCTTTTTTGTCGTTAAGGTGGAGAATTGAACCAAGAATTCGGTATGTTTGCACTTAGAATGGGATTTTATAAGGTAATGGAGCAATGTTAGAGTCTGATCGATCCTATTTTTTGTCGTTAAGGTGGAGAACTGAACTGAGAATTTTGGTTTGACTAAGGGAATGCTTGCACTTGTTATGGGATTTTATAAGGTAATAGAGCACAATAGAATCTAATCAATCCTATTTTATGTCGTTAAGATGGGGAACTGAATCAAGAATTTTGGTTTGGATGAGGGAATGTTTGCACTTAGAATGGGATTTTATAAGAAGAAGAAAATGAGGGAAGTGGAGGTTGCTTAGAATTGAATGTATTGTGGAAAAGAGGGAACCAAATGATAGAAATACTATCAATGGCTATAACTCCATTAAAGTTGTTGTCATCACTCACTTCCATGGGATTTTTTAGTAGCAAATAAATGAATGTCATGCATGTTAATTAGTTCATATAGAGTTTTTTTAAAAATAAAATAAAATTATAAGTAGAATAAAGACACTCCTCCAAAAAGTAAAGATTTTTTGCTTAAGCAATTGGTTACACAAATAATGAATTCTGTAGAAAAGTGATTTCTTTCTTGGTATTCCATTTTACTAGATAATTCACTACCATCAAAATAAAACAAAATAGGAATTAGCGATAGACAACTTTTATCTTTAAATAATAAAATTATGTCGATGATTCTATTTAATGATGGATTATTAAAAAAATCCTGCTAGTTAAAAGTTATTTAACATGAATTTCTCTAGTTCTTCTTCTTCTTTTTCCTTTTTTTTTTGATGATTGGGTGATTCTTCTTATTGTTTAATAAGTGTAATTAGTGTTGTAATCCCATCATTATGATTGGTTCTTGATTTGTCCAGATGGGATTGTATACTTGATGAGATGGATAAAAAAATACATTATGATCTCTACATTTTGCTCCATGTATTTGAGAATTTTTTTTTGCTTTTCATCCGGTGTCCATTACCCACATTGGAGTTCGACTAAATCAAGATTCGCGTAGGGAAGTTCCACTTTGGGTGGTAAAGCGCTTCCTAACAAAGGTGACTCTGTATTTAGGGGGACTCAAACTTGAGACCTTTAGTTAAGGATGAAGAAGTACTTACCACTCCACTACAACCCTTGTTGATCCATGTATTTGAGAATTATGTTCCCTCTTAGTCACTCAAGTGCGGCAAAACTTAGTAGCTTTGACTCAAAGTAACTTTGTATTTGTAATAAAATATCTCATTACAAATTATAAATTTAAGATTCGATAACTTTAAACAATTAGAAATTAAAATTCATAAATTTTAAATTCTGAATCAGTGTGTATCTATATTTCCAACAAGAACAAAATAAAGGAGTAGGAAAAAAGGAAATGAATGGTATAATGAAGAAGCTCATAAGTAATTAGGTTATTGATTGACATTTGGATTAATTGTGTAGCAATGTATGAATAAATAATGAAATATTATGGACAATGATTTTAAGGCCTTGTGATACTATAAAAATATTATATTATAGATTCAATTATACTTGATGACACAAGACACTTTTAATTTCATGATGTTAATTAGTGGTCCAAATTTTCTTGCATGAAAATGAAATTTAAAGCTAAGTTAGAATGTTTGCTTAGCTTAATAGACCAGCAAAGGTCATTAATTAGGCACTAAAAATTGATACTTGATGGGAGTCATGATGTGGCTAGTATTTTGCACACTCATGCATACAATTTTCATTTATTGCAAAGGGTGGAAAGAATGAGCATGCTAAAGTAGAAATCAATTCATCCCCCCCCCCCACACACACAATTTATTTGTATTCGATATTTATGACAAATCGATAAATTTTAATTTTAGCAATTGAAAAGTAAAGTGAGTTTTTTCAGAAACATCTCTACTCCAGAGGGATAGTAGTAAAGTCTGCGTACACTTTATCCTCTTCAGATCCTACTTTATAGGATTTCACTGAGTTTGTTATTGTTATTGCAATTAGAAAATAAAGTAAGTATATCGCGTAGATATGATTAAGTGATAAACATATGTATGAAATTCACGTTTTGTATTCATTAATTTGATGTAAATATTAGGTGTGAGCAAATTTTATCGAGACCTCATTTTCTTCGACCTAAGCTCACCCCACTCCACCCCCACCCCCAACCATACTCATATATAATAAAATAGGTATTATTATAATCATGCCTCTCACTATGCTGTCTGCCAAGTGATATTAATTTGCCTTATCTGCTTTCAGTTTTGTGCCCACTTTTTTTTAATTTTAATATATAGTATATATGAACAACAACATAAATACCTAGGTCAAAAAATATAGTGTCCCCTTTTTGTAGGGCTAAAGATACTGCATGCGTGGCTTGTGAAAATAATAACTATTCTTGACTTGTAGTTGCGTGTGTACATATTTTTCATTTTCAGAGTTCAAACTCAAAATTTTGGATCAAATAAGCACTCACTATTTGTTGATATTAGAGTTGGATGCTTACTTTGCTTCTTTTTCCCCCTTCCGGCTTGAAATTTACTCGTTTCTAGTTAAGAGTAGACAGTTTCTGAATCAGAAGCGGATTCATCTTGTCAGGTGCAAGTTCACGAAAATCCTATATATAGCTGTTGTTGAATCTTTTAATTTATTTAAAATATTTAACTATAACACATTATTATCGTTTATTAACTTAAATTCATTACAAAAATTCAAAAAAATAAATTTATCTATTTTTAATCATTGCACCGCAACCTATGGCACACTAATTATTTCATGAGTTTCACTTGTGGACCTTTTATATTTTTTGTCACAAGAATTGTCCCCTCTATACAAATAGTTATTGAAAGATGGAACCTCTAGTTTTCAGTGTCACAAGAAATGGTCCATAGAAAAGAAGAGGAACTTCCTATATCATTCACCTATGAGCCACTAGTACATTGAAAACATTTTATTTTATTTGATTCTTATAATTAAAAAAAGTTATTTTAATAATATATCATTAAATAACTATATAATTAAGGGCAAATTACAGAAATCACATATTTTAAGGCAAAATTACAATTTATCCCTTAAAAGTTTATAATTACAGAAATCCCTCAAACGGATACAATAATATAAGCGCTAATACATTAATCTGATGCGCGAGATACATTAATCGTTAAGTAAGATACATTACATTTTATACATGAGACACTAATTTGATGTACATTTTATACATGATACACTAATATGATGCACGAGATACAAAATATAAGCGTTGATACATTAATCTGATGTGCGAAAATGAGGGATTTTGGAAATTTGTAAAACTTATAGGGAATAATGATAATAAGTAAACTAAAAGGTGGGATTTCTGTAATTTTCCTATAATTAATATGGATAATTTTGACAAAACAAATCCCTTTCTTAGAGGGAGTGGAAAGTTAAAAAGGGCCAAGTAAAATGAAACAGAGAGGTATTTTCATTTCATATATTTATTTAAAATTCCCCCTTAAACTTGGCCGCACAAGTTTGGGGGGGGGGGGATTTAATGTCTTTTCTCTTTAAATTTTCTTAGTAAAAATACAGACTCCGTGTGTTTTCGAAAAATTGAGAAATTTTCATAAATAACGATAGTTTTGTATGGCGCTGAGTTGGGCCATTATTCAAAATGGGTCACATTGGGCTGGACTATAGGACAAGCTGGTTGGCCCATATCTTATCAATATCAATCCAAGAGATACTATAGATAGTATATAGTGAAATAATATTTTATTTCACTATTCATGCCTTATAACACATATCATCTACTTTGGCCTAATATATATCACGAATTTGTCTTTCTGGGCTACACTATAATTGAACATAAAAGCACACATATCGTATAAACTTGTGCAATGCCTCATAAAGCTCTTTGTAATTCATGTAGAGTATTATGTGCATCCTTTCTTAGCACATACTCCCTCTGTCCCTAATTACTTGTTCACTTTTGAATTGACACACCTATTAAGAAATCAATTAATGACATAGTGAGTTTACCATTTTACTTCTATTAATTATGAAGTGGATGAAAAGTTTTGCATTTTTCAAAGTAATTAGTCATTTAATTGAGGGTATAATAGTAAAAAAAAATTATCCTTTCTTGATTTGTCAAAATGGACAAGTAATTAGGGACAACTATAAAAGGAAAAATGGACAAGTAATTAGGGACAGAGGGAGTAATATATATTTCTTTAAAGGGCAGTACGTTGCATGAAGCTCTTGTTGTGTGTGTATGGGGGGGAGACCGAACTTTAAGAATCGTTTATACATAGTCTTACTTCATATTTCTACAAGAGACTATTTCTACGATTCGAACATGTAACCTTTGATCATATGACACCAAATGTCAAGGTTTCCCTTCAATTATGCATTTGTTATATACAAAATATATAGTGATGATAGCTACAACCTATTACGATTAAATGGGTGATTTTTTTTTAAAAAAAAGGCCGGCTGACTAATTTTTCAAAAAACCATGTTCTAATACACACTTAAAATCCAATAATTATGATTTCAGCGTTTCAGCATTCCAAAATGCAAAAAAATAAAAACAACTTCAAAAATTGTGAAGTCCTTAACGTTTGAGATAAATTCTCTAAATTTCAGGTCAAATAAAATTCGATGATAATTTTTTGAAAAACTCATGTACTAATATATATCGAAAAACTTTTATAATCATGATTTCATATTTCAGACCTGCACATCATAATCAAAATCCAAAACTCACTCTAACTAAAAAGCTAAAAACACAACTAAGTTACATTAGAAAAAAAAATTTGAATAGATAAGAGTTAGGAAGAGATGAGCAATTGATGAAGGTGACAGATAGGAACCCACCAACACTTAAAATTGACCATATGATAAAAAGGAACATTATCTCTTTAGGAATTAAATTTAGAAACAAACCATCAAAGAATGTATTTTTTTCTTAATTAGAAATTTTAAATTCGAGATAGGTATGAGTTTTTTTTAATAGAGAATGTTTTTCCTGAATAGAATCGTATGTTGTACGAATTTAGATTAATAAAAATTCAATACGGATATCAAACACCTAATGAGATACCAAAAAAAAATTAGAAACAACAAACTAAAAGGTCGTATATTAAAAATAACTTCTCTATCCTACAAAAACAAGAATACCATCTTATTTTCTTAAATTCTACTTATGAAATTATACACAATGACATATATAGTGACTCCAACAAATAGAATATGGGGAGTGTAACGTCTACACAGACTTATCCTTTATTTTGTAAAGATAATTAAGAAATTACATTCGATGTGTTGTGCACTAAGTTCTTTTTACTATGTATGCGTAAAATTTAAAAATACCATAAGAATTTATTATACGTAAATCTTACTCTGCATTTCTGCATACACAATTAAAATACATATTCTTAATCGTATAACATTAACTTTACCAATTACGCAAGGCTCCATTTCACACTCAGTACGTATGTGGTGGTTGTTGACCAAAAAAAAAAGTATATATGTAGAACTCACCTAACACGTTACATATCATTAAATAAAAAATTGATATATAAATAAATGCACTGAACAATCATAGCACTTTCGAGAAGCATCACCCACCAAAATAGTTTTGACATTGATATAAATAAATTATAATATATGGTCAGAAGATAGAGCTTTATGAATATATAAAATATTATATTAGTAAATAGGTTTAAGGATAAGAATGCTTTAAACGAGCCATAAGTTTAGGAACACAACAAATATATATTGAGTGATAATAAAATAATCTAATTTTATAAATGGGGTTTTTAAAAGTAAGATATACACAGATTTTATAGCACTATTTTTGTGGAACATAGAGATTATTTTTGATAGATTTTCAGTTCAATAAAAACGACATACTAAATCAAATAGGATGAATACGAGTTCCTGAGCTATTCAAAATAGGTATAGAAAATATAAGAGTGAAGAAGTTATGATGAGAATATCGAAGGAAAGAAACATAATGACATCAAAATAATAAGGAAAAATGCATAAGTACCTCCAGCCTATGTCCAAAATTCCTGAGACATATCTACCTTTACTAAGGTCCTATTACCCCCCAACTTATTTTATATATAATTTTCTACCCCTTTTCGACCTACGTGGCACTATCTTGTGGGCCCAGCGCGTGTGGATAATTTTTCAAGGATAGTGCCACGTAGGTCGAAAAGGGGTAGAAAATTAATTAAAAAATAAGTTCGGGGGTAATAGGACCTTAGTAAAGGTTAGGCGTGTCTCAGGGATTTTGGGCATAGGCTGGAGGGTACTTGTGCATTTTTCCTAGTAAAGATGAAGCAAATAAGGTGCTCTAATTTTGAAGCACGCTCTCCTAGAAAAGATAAAGAATTCACACGATTACCTACTAATTTTCTATCCTAATTCTCAACCTCTATGCTCTGCTATTTAGTATTTCATCATGTGGTAGATAAGCTTAAGGTGTGTCATGTCCTATTTAATTTTTTTTCCTATGATCTTCTTCAATCTATCTCTATGTGTCCTTATATAGGCGATCTATTATTGTCAATCTCTCACAATTTTTTTAGGGGGAATCCACATCCCTCCTATTGTTTTGAAATAATTCGACTATCTACTATTTCATGTCCTAATCCTTAACCTCCATGCTCTCCTATTTAGTGGTCATGTGCTCGATAAGCATAATGTATGCCATTTCATGTTTAATCACGTCTTCATATTCTTCTCCAATCAATCTTTACCTATCCTTACACTATCAATGTCAACCTTCCACACTTTTTTTACTGGGAGATTGACGTCCCTCCTCTTTACATATCTGAACCATTTCCAACTTTATTTTCCGTATTGTATACACTATATATACACCATTGATATCACTCTCATCTTATCCTATATATTCTCGTTTCTAATCTTATCTCTCCTAATACGCTCACACATCTATCAAATTATTATCTGGAAAAAGAAATTTCATATTATTACACAATACTATTTTTATGATAATTCGTATATAACCTATACATTAACAAAATGATTCACAACCTTATCATCTTGACGAAAATGACAACCCTAGTTAAATGAATTTGCCAATATTTGCATCACTTTAAAGATTCATTGTGCAGGTAGCATGTTGCTTTCAAGGTGTGTTTTACGAAAATATTTTTTTAATTTTTTCATATTCAGTTCATAAGCAAAAAAAAAATTATAATATTATTTAAAGGGAAAAGGGACAAATATGCTCTTGAACTATCGTAAATGGTAAGCAGATATCATCCATTATACTTTTGGAACATTGATGTTCCTGCCGTCCAAAAACTAGAGCATATATACTGTCCAAATTATATTTATGTTGACAACAACATATTCACATAAAATGTGATATATGCAGTTTTTATTTCTATTTGAAAAATATTAAGATAATTTTCGATAAATCCTCACCTCAAATACTATTTTCGTTGACAAGATTGATAATTTTCAAAGTAAATGAAAAAATAAAAAATTGAACCCAACATATACACTATTATTATAATGTACATGAAATCAACAAGAAATACAAAAAAAAAAAAAAGATAACAAAGGGACAACTAGATAAAACCAAACATTACAAATAGATTTAACTTAAATACATTCAAAGCAAACAAAACAAAAAATAAATCAAAACGATAGAATAGTCCCATCCTTTTTCCCCATTTGGAATAACAAACTTTTTAAAGAACGTAAGGATGTCAGCTCGATGCACATAACATTTCGCGATAGATGTGACATAACAAACATTTTATCTACAAATTTCTCAAATCCATCAAATTGTTCCATCTTTTATCAAGCATTGCTTCTGAATGAACCAAGAGCTTTAATTGCTCCAGCTCGGAGAATGTATTGGTGGTAGACAGCGGCGATGAAAGCTCCAATGAATGGTCCGACCCAGAAAATCCAATGTTCGTCCCACGCCTTGTCGCCGTTGAAAATCACGGCCGCCCCGAAACTCCTTGCCGGGTTGATTCCGGTACCGGTGATCGGAATAGTGGCAAGGTGAACCATGAATACGGCGAATCCAATGGGAAGTGGGGCCAAGACCTTTATTTATCATAAAAAGGGTAAAATAGTCAAAAGAATTATTCATAACTAGTTTCTTTTAAGGAGCATATAAAAAGAAACATGACGGATAATTTAACAAAATAAATATTAATTAAGAATACAATTTAAAGCTCTTATTTTATCTATATATATCGATGTTTATTTTTAAAATAACTCATCAATTTTTTATTTTAATCTAAAATATTCATATTTAATTAAATTTATCACATTGAAACATTAGGAATATAATCTTTAGTGATATAATAGGTGTACAACTTTAACATCATTATAAACTAATCAAATCATTTTATTATCTTTGTGTTTTCTAAAGTATTTTAGTTAGGTCACCTCCCTCTTTAATAAATCAAGAAAATAATTAGAATAATAGTGGGTAGGCCACTTACTAATTAACACCACACAAAAATGCTTCAAAAATCAAAGATAAGATTCGTCTTTAGCCACACTATAGTTTTCTAGTGGGGAAATTAATTAACCCCTATAGTAGAACACCCCACCCCACCCCACCCACCCCCATCCTACCTACCCCTAAACAAGCTAAACTAGACTAGAGTATACAAGATAATAATTCATGAATAGAGTTTACTCTTTGCTACTTCGTTTTGTATCATGTTAGGTAACATTAACAACATGTTCAGAATTTGAAATTTATAAATCTATAAATTTTGAATTCGATTTTACTTACAGGAACATGAGAGTCTCTGGCGCTTCTTTTGGGGTCAGTGGCAGAGAAGACAACATAAACCAAAACAAAAGTACCAATAATTTCAGCAGCCAAACCAACACCCTTGGTGTGTCCTGCTGCCATAACATTAACACCACCACCATATCTATTGTAGTATGCACTTTGGAATGCCTTCACAAAACCTACACCACAAATTGCACCCAAACATTGTGCTACCATGTACAATACTGCCCTAATCAATGATACTTTCCTTGCCAAAAATAACCCAAATGTCACAGCAGGGTTGATGTGTCCACCTACAATCATCACATATATTATCAGTATAATTTACCTTGTTATAATAATCGTAAAGAATTTGAATAAAAGAAGACTTTTTTTTTATCAATGGTCTAAATTTTCCCTTTTCATTGTAGTTTTAGTAAACTTTTTTTACACATGAATTTATGTTTTGTGTTCACAGTACTGAATTCAAGTGAACCCTGTACCTCAAAGCTCCATTTTTCTCATGAAAAGAGCAAAATCGACCCACTTTACTGGCGATAAAGGTAAGAAACGAGACAATTTTTTAACGAAGGGCATAATTGTTTTATTTTTCATAGTTTATAGCCATTTTGATCCTTCACCCTACTTATTTTAGTATCGAAAATACTAAATTCAACTAAACCATAAAACATAAACTACAAAGTTACTAATATCACTTTTTATGTTCAACAAAACAACAAAGAATTCAACAGAATTTAATAGTTTTCCGCTCAACCTTCTATTTACTATATCTTTCTTTAAAAAAATGTATAAATAATATATTCAGAACAAGTAAAACTCGAAAAAACTCACCAGAAATACCAGCAGTACAGTAAACAAGAACGAAAATCATGCCACCAAAAGCCCAAGCAATACCAAGAAGACCAACGCCACCGCAGACATCGCCTCCGGCGTTAACATCGGCTTGGTGTTTGTATCCAATTACAGTAAGAACAGTGATATAAAGAAATAACAGAGTAGCAATAAACTCCGCTATTGCTGCTCTGTATAGAGACCATTTGGTCAATTCCTCGAAATCGATCAGAGGAGCAGGCGGAGGATCAGTATAATCCTTTGCGGAGTACTCCGCCGCCTGCTCGTGAACGGCCTCGACTTCTTTAGTCATGAGGAGAAAGAGATTTTTAAGTAGAAAAAACAGAGGAAAACAGAGTATGCTCTGTTTTTTTGTTATGGTTTTTTGTTTTGTGTAGAGTGAGAGAGGGAGTGGATAGGTATTTATGTTTGATTAAGAATGGATTACAGAGTGTTTTTTTTATTTGTTAATTTTTTAAAAAATAAAATTAATTTAATTTTTGAGTTATAATAATTAATGTGGCCCCAAATGCAAATTATTGGGGGAATTTATGAGCTTGCAGTTGGTCCCATAGCCAACCTATACACATCTTTGTCACACAACGGCTCTATTCAATTGTTTTTTCGTTTTCAATGTTTGATGCTATCTGCATTGAAGTTCGATTAAATTTGAATTTGTACATTATAGGGTGTTAGACTCGTGAAGTAAAGGCTTTTTTCATAGATTGAAAAGTTGGACTTTGTTCGCGCGCAACTAACAATCTCTTCTTTGAATTTAGTTTCACGTGAGTCATTGTTATTCATGGGCTAATTTGGAAATTAATGAAATATCACTCATATTGATCGAGTATTCATTACTATCAAAATTCACTGATTTTTTCTTTACAACTATGAATAAAAATAGCAAAATGAGTTCTTAAAACCACACAAAATAATTTAAATACTTTTTTTTTCAACTGTTATTTTATTTTTATTAACACTACTCTTTTTTTTTATGAAGAATTATTAACACTACTCTTATTATTACCCAACTCTAATATATTAACTTCCTTTTATTGTAATTCTTTGCTTGAAATACTGAATAGTTGATTTTAATAATTTAATTGTGTAATTCTTTTCAATAAAAAATAAAAATTCACCAAAGGGTGTGATATATGAAGTGGGAGGAAATATATAAAAGCAAAATATATTTGATAATTTCTTCTTATTAGTGTAGTTCTTAAATAGGCAGAGTCGTAAAGCCATTCAACACTACTAATAATGAAAAATAATAATAATATATTCGATAAAATAACTAAAAATGCATATAAATTGGTTCAACATAATTTTATTTGATAAAGTTAAATGAAAAGCTCACAAATGGAATTTGGACCCAAAAAGGGTGGGGAAAAGGACCTATCATGTCTACCAACGGTATAGTGCTAGCTGGATTGCAAAATAAATATAAACTTTATATTATAAAAAAAAAAAAAAAGGAAAAAAAAAGAGTAAGAAAAGGTAATGGACAATACTTTTGTTTTATGTACACAAAAATAAATAAAGTGTTTTAGCCACAAAAATATGATTTTAAATTGGAAGCTTTGTAGTTTTACAACAAAGAAACAAATATATAGAATTTTTGAAAATCGATTTATTTTTGGATGTATATATTTATCTTTTATTCACCCTTTTAATTCATTATTTTCTAGTGTAAGAAAAAAAAAGTGTTTTAACTTGTTTTTTTTTTAACAGATAATTAGTGCATGCGATATATAAATAAAAAATAAGTTCAGAGAAGATAATAAAACTCCACACAATTTAAATAACAAAATTGATATTTTTACCATAAAAATTTTAGAACTTTTTAAGTGAGCCAATTCTTTTCATTTTTGTTCCAATTAATTTTTTTTGAGCTTCCATTAGTTCTTCGCATCACCTAAGTTTTATTAAATAGAAAAGACATTTGGTTTTAAAAAAAAAAATTAAATTTAAATTTGAAATCTCTGATTAAGAGGTAAAACGAGTTGGTTCATAGGTTTGGAGGATGAACTTATAAATAGGTTTGGATGATGAACTTATAAAGAGTTAAAATGGATGGATTTTATATATTTTAAAAATTATTTTGACTTTAAACATTAAGTTGGAAACTGAAATAGAATTTTCAAAGGAAAAAATAGTTGAATGAATCATCTAGAGATTTCTAGTCCAAACATTTTTGTCTTTCATTAATATTTTAAAGATTGATTATCAATCGTCACAATCTTTTTTAGCCACAAATTTAACCAGTATTTAATAATCAAGAATAGTAGAGGAATTTAAACCAGACAAAATTTTAAATGTAATTAAGTAATTATTTTCAGAATTAGGGTAAAAGGTTGATTGATAGCAAAGTATTTTCATTTTATTTTTTTTGAAATAGGTTTGGTGATAGTTTGTCGTATTTGTTTCCACTTTTTTACTAGTAGTATTAGGCTGTTAGCACTATTTTCTTCGATTTTCTACCATCAATTGTATTTTTTGTGCTTAGATTATCATATATGTTATTGTTCTTATTCTTTAATATTTCTCTAGGTTATGTACTATTTGCCTTATTATTACCATGTCTCTTCTTTTTTTTTTGAATTATCAAAGATTTGTTGAAAATAATTTTCTTATCTTAAAAAAAAAAAAAAAAGAGTAAAATTTATATATATCATTCGTAATTACGCTGAATATATTATTATTTGTTGTGGTCGTCATATCACTGAATCAAAATATGCAATCAATGCTGACATATTTTCTTATTTTCCTGATAAAGACAAGTTTTTTTTTTCTTTTCTTTCCTAATAAAATGAAAAACATTACATATGATAGTTCTTTTTCATATTTTTAAGATTAATTGTTGGATGTTCTTCTTTTAAGAATTGTGAATTGTATATTCCTTTAATATGCGAATCCTTGTTCATTAAGTGATGAGATTAGATATTTTTTTATAAAAAATCGTAGTGAAGAGGTAAATTTGTCTTCATTTTTACTTAAAATTTTTGAATTCAAATCTTAAATATAAAATTATTTTAAATAAAAAGCATTTTACTTTCAAATAAATCTTTATGATATAAATTTTAATTAGTCGAGCCTAAAACTAATATGAAAACTCAAATGGGACCACCAAAGAACATATGATGAGATTAGGGACTTGTTAATCTTATCACAAAACCATTTTCTACACTTATCCAATAAAAATTAAAGGGGGAGTGGGGTCCCAAATGATGCTAATTATTAGAAAAGAAAAAAACTTAAAGACATTCATTTTATTTTGTATTTTAAGAGTTACAATGGGGCATAAATGTTGTCATTTTGTTTGCTGGCTGAGGTGCCAGATAAATTTATCTGGAAGACACACCTAAAAGCACAAAAATAAAGTCCAAAACCCCACAAACAAATTATTTTGTAACATGTGGTAGTTAAACTTGTAAGTTGTAATTATGAGAATTTGGATTATCATAAGCAAATTTATCTCATCACTCTAAACACTCACTTTTAAAAAAAAAACTCAGAACAATATGAACATGTTATTTTAATTTGGTTTTAGTTGATATATATGTTCTTTAATGTTGGATGTGTACAAATAGATATTTAAACTTGTATAAAGTTGAAAAAGTAAACAACAACGTTCTAAAGGGTACAATACAAATCTATTTGAGTGTATCCTACGTGAATTATCATGTATGACGCGTGTGCAGTGTGTCACCTTGTTCAATTTTGTACGTGTCTACTTCAACTCACCCAAAATTGATGTTAGATGAAACCAAATTAGAAGACATATTAAAATATTATTATCAATTAACATATTTTTGAAAATGATAATTCCAATGTTCTATCTAATTAGACCATATGAAATATATTTACAACACAACAAATTTAATGTAATCCGATAAATAGAGTCTTGGAAGAATAAGATGTACACAATATTACTCCTATCTTTATGAGATTGTTCTGATTAACACTTGACAATGCTTCTCCTTTATTTGAGATTAAGATCGACAATATAAACAAACTCACACATATATGACTTATTACTCCCTCTGTCCACTTTATATGATTTATTTTTCTTTTTAGTCCGTTCCAAAAAGAATGACGCATTTCTATATTAACAATTTCACTTTAAAATATCTATTTTACTCTTAATGAAATGATTTACCATCAAACAAACATATGAAACTTATTTTAGATCACAAGTTTCAAAAATCGTTCTTTATTTCTTAGAGTTCGTGTCAAATCAAACTAGGTCATATAAAATGGAACGGAGGAAGTACCTCTTTTCAGGATAGTTGGATGAATATTTGCATCACTTGCTAAATTAAAATTAGTAAATTAATTATGTTCTAAATTACATTATCAATGTATATATCATTAGCCTAACATATTTTTTTTTTTAAAAGTAGCACAATAATGTCTAAGATGTATAATATGGACCAATTATTAGTTTTCCTTTTAATTAAGCTCATCTATTGTTAATGCACACCGTCCAAATAGCTAATCATAAATACTATAGATTAGGTTAGTACTAATAAAAATAATTAACCGCCCAATATTTATTTAAATAAAATGAACACCTGTCATGACTCATTTATTCTTTTTATCCACTAAACTCCAAATATATGTGTCAAAAAAAATTGCATCATTCATCCTCCACTCCTAATTTAATATCAACAAACATCCAACTCTTCTTGAATATTAATTAAAGAAAAAAGGGCGAGTACTCTTGTGCACGGACTCAATGGCGGAGCCAAGATTTTCAATAAGGGAGTTCAAAATCCGAAGGAGTAAACATACGAACTAGTCGAAGGGGATTCAACATTTATTATATACATCTAAAAATAATTTTAACCATGTATATATAGTATAATAATATTTTTCGCCGAAGAGGATTCGAATGAACCCCTAAGACATGAATGATACGATATAGTTTATAATATGTTAAAAGTAAAAAGCGTTCTGATGGGATTTCACGAAAAAAAAGATTGCAATCAATAAATGATATTAGAGACCTTATGGATCGTTCATTTGAAAATAAGAGTTTTTTTTCAATTTTATTTGATTTAAATCAAACTCATATATTTTAATTCAATGAATCAAACCTCTATCAATAAAAAATTATTCACTAAATAGTATATACACATGGTGATTATGTTTCATTGTTTAATTTCTTGATGTTATTTAAGTTAATATTTTACTTTTTCTTGTTAGATTAGTTAAATGAGAAATACAGGAGGTTAAAATTGTAATCTTAATATTTCTTTTACTTATATATACATAACTCTGGTTGAATTTAACTCTCATTATTAGCTCAATTTTTATGTAAATATTAATTGAGAGAAAGTTGAGTTAGTAACTTTTATATGAATTATCAAGTGGGTGAGATTGATCGAGTCGTCCATCAATTGGAGGCTCTTCTTCTCTGAAGCAGAC